GCAGCTACCAGTAACACCGCTAGAGGCCAACAAACGCCGCATCGGCACCATCGTGACACCCACACGCTACGGGAGAATCCCCTCGGATACAGTTGCCAACTGTCTCGATGCGAGACGGCGAGTGTGGCGACTGCGCTGCCGCACCAACATCGTGGGGGCGGGGATGATGGTGCCCTGCAGGTATACTGGGCGGTACACGGCGCCGCAGTGCGTTATGAGGAGGAAAAAGGGGTACGTGTTGGCAGTTCAGCTCCACCCGCAACTGTTCCAGAAGGTTTATTTTTGCTCCTCGCCCCGTCCCCCCATTGGCTGCGCTGTGCCCTGGCCACTAGCAGTGAATTTCCCTCGTTGGCAGCGAGGAAGAGATGGAGCTCGCCACACATGCAGCTGCCACGTACAGTGACTCTCTCTGGTGAATCTTTTGGAGGGCTTTCCCAGCTTGGCACTTTCCCCAGACAACTTCAACTGCTGCGATGAGGCACACAGGCCTCGCGCACGCTGCGGGTTGAATCTGAAAGCCGCCCCGCACACTCGTGGAGTGGGCCAGTGAGCTTGGGAGCGAGGGACAAGTCTCATGCTCTTTGTGGCTATTATCTGCGGTGTCGCAGGAATGATGCCACGTGGCGTCAGGGCGCATCCTGCGTTGGCTTGGGGAATCCCCAGCAGCGTTTTGCGCTCGTCAACGCATGAGCAGGGGGCTCAACGGCATTGGAGAGGCATAGACAGGCTACAGTGCTTCATCCTTTTCCTGCTGCAGCTGACAGCTGTCGTGGGTGATGAAGTTGGCGCCTGCGAGTGCGGGTGCCGTCACCTTGCTGTCGCAGACCGGCGTGGGGCGTCCACTCCTACTGTGGCGAACTGCACGGCGAGCAATGGACGCAGCAGCCCCACAACGCCTGCACTGCCTCCGCTACCGGCTGACGCGTGCCTTTGATTGGAGAGGGGTGGTCGCGAGGCACACTTTCGCCCCGTGGGAGGGGAGAGGGGGGCTTGGGGCGTATCGCCGCTTGATTTGGTGGAGGTGTCTCTGTGACACGAGAGAGACGTCCGTGGCTATCCGCGTCAGCGGACCACGTGCACCAATGCTGGGCAGCGTGCCCATCGCATTACTGTTTGAATTGGCGTCCTAAACGTGGCAGGAGGGCCCTACACTTAACACTGCGCATAAAAGACGGGAGAGATGCCGGACGCGAGAAGCCCACAACAGAACACCCGGCCGACATGGCGGCGAAGGGTCAAAAGGACGCTCCGTCGCCAACGGCGTTGGCTTTGCAGTTGGCGTCGGGGCGCTTGCATTTCACATGCTCTCTGTGTGGGTGAGGGAAGCAGAAGGCAACGGCTGCTGCTGCTGCACCTTCTTCCTTTTCGTTGTCAATGTTTGGCACGGTGGAGGTGACGGCGGCTCCATTCACAGGTTTTCTGTCAACTGTGGCTGGAATCGCCGCCACATCCGCGACTGCTCTTACAGCACAGAGCGACGCTGATTCTCAATTTGGTGCGGCTGCGCCTTTCTGAAGTGGAGCAACGTTGAACAAAACACAACCTCAAGAAGTGCAGTGGGAAGGCCAGGCAAAGTTGTACTTGCGGAATCTCAGCGACTGTTGTGTGCTTTCATGCTTATCTGCTGCATGGTGGTCTTGTTGCACAAGTCCTCGTCGAAGTAAGTTCGTCTTATTGCTTGCCTTTTTTTGCATCAATTTGGCTTTAGCCTGCTCCTCCTATCCGCTGGTGGACTGCTGATTGAGTTCCCTTGCAGGAGGGCGTCGTGC